TCCCACAAAAAATGCCTCTCATGCCTCTTAATGCATCACTGTGAACAGTATATCATGAGTTAGCTAACGTACCTTGAGATATCTATAAATCACTCCCAGTTGGTCAATATACAACACAGGAAGGTATTGCTCATTAAGAGCTAACCTAAAATGGCAACAATCATGTTAGACATGCTGTGATCAACAGTATTATAAAACTGATGGACATTCATCTTTACTCCATGGTTTCCAGTTGGGTATAAATTTATAAATTACATCTTTATAAAGTATATTCGATTCATCATACCTGATAAATGGATAGATCTCACCAGGAATGCCTTTCCGTTCAAAATCAACTTTTTCATTTAAAACATAAAAATTGAGAATGGGCTTCCAATGGGTCACTGGAATTTCATTAGACATCACACTAGTTTCCTACGTGAAATATAAATATCAAAATCAATAAAAATTATATAATTTACACTAGGTGTGTATTTAAATGTTGACTTATTAATTATTTAATATTATATTAAATAATTAATATTTTCTAGTAGGTGATAAAGACGAATGCTCAAGCCTTCATACAATGTACTGGTTTCTTGCAGTGTGCTTTAAATCCCTTTATGGAAGAAAAAAGCACACAGCTTACAAATCATGATGGAATGCTTATATTAACATCAGCTTCTTTTGTAGTTAACTTGTTTTCGTAGCAAAACAGAAGAGAAATTTCTGAGGATTAAAACAATACATCTCTAACACAACATTATCAGGAAAGTGGTGTGTGTTGTTCATTGAAACAAGTCAGACACTCTTTAAAAAGAATTTAAAAAAAAAAAGACTGTTGATGCAGGTCAGGTATGCAGGGACAGATCCAGAAAATTCAGATAGGGTAGGCTGAAGAAATTGCAGAGACCCCCTCCCCCAACCCTGCAAAAAAAAAAAAAAACAAATGAAAAATTTACTTTTCCTGGAGATACTGCTAAATATAGTTTTCTAATTTTTAAATTAATAGACAGTATGTTTTGGACAATACAAGAAAAAATTGGGGGGGGGGGNGGGGGAAGTGAGGTCAGTCCCATTTTTCCTCTCTAAATCTACCCCTGGGTACGATCCATGATGCCATGCTCTTCGTACATGCACAGCCTAACAGTTAAATGTATTGATTGAATCTAGTTTCTCTACAGATGTACATGTAAAGCTCAATTTGAAATAAATTGACAATTATGGTAGTAAGAACTTTTTCACCAGACAATAAATTGCAAATAAACAGAGTGTACAATTTAACTTAAAATAAACCAGCGACATGGCTAGCTAGAATTACAGCAGAAAGCAAAATGACTGTAATTGCTGACAGCACAACCTTTATATAATTTTTCCTACTTTTTTGATCTTAAAACTGACTCACCTCCTTTGATTTTTGTTCAGAAAGAAGGTTGATAGATTCATCTTGAGGTAATGAATATACTGTCAATGGAGTCACAGCATGTGATACATACTGACTGTCAAATGGGTGATCTCCAACTGGATGAATAAATATGTGAGCATACAATGATCCGTTGTCTCTTGTTTGACTTGGTAAAGTAGCATTCACAGATCTGCGGGTATGGGATTTCAAACTGCATTATTGAGAGTGAAAGATTAGAAACGGAATTATCACCTGTGTGACTGCTTATGTTTGACATGTCCAGCTAACTTGTATTTCTTCCAAAGCCTGGCTTTTGAAGGGCAATAAAAATTTTATGGTCATGAAAAAATTCACAAAGACACAAGATGAGAATAATAATGTTATGTAAACAGATGGATATAGGCATCAGAGATCTGGGGGAAAGGGTAGAGGGGTAAGCCTGATTCTCAGATGGTCAAGGTCATTCCTGGCCACATTCTCTCTCCCTGAGAAAGTGTGTGGCCACGAGCAACCGGGAAGGGTCACTATGGAGGAGTGAGATGGGCTTAGAGTAAACAAGGATAGAGCATATTCAATTTGTTAGCGATTGAGCAATTGATGGAAAACTATGCAAGAGGCTAGACCTATGGAAGAGTGACATGCTTGCAAATGTAAAAGTGAAGAATGGCAATCACTGCTACTAACTCTAAACTTACATTGTAAATGAATGCGACAAACTAAAGTTATCACTTTTCCAAAGTAATTGACAGTGTCTACTGTTGATCTGTTGCTGTTGTTGAAGTGATGTGTAAATTGATACCTGCAAATTTAAAACAATTATCAAACAGCAATGAATATTAAACTATTAACAAAGTGAAAACACCAACTCAACCCAAAATTTATATTAAACAATACACCTGATAGTAAGAAATTGTACATTGCACATGTCTATCTAACTTAGGTTGACAAGCCATTTCACCACACAACAACAGTTTCCAGCAGTTTCTTTAGATGTTCCATTCTTCATCTATGTTTGTTTTGTTTTGTTTTTTTTAATAATAAGTTATCCTAAGTTATATATTAGCGTACACAATTTCAGCATTGAGTTTAGCTGTTCTTCAGTCAGTGGGATTATGAGGGTCACATGATCTCAAGGAGTTCTATCCAGTTAAATGCAATTTAACGGATTTAACAACAAAGGGCGCTTGCATTCCCCTGGTAGTCAGCGGTGTCAACACATATGCGCATGTGTTGGAATTCCATGTGCTCGTGGATCGTAGCATGGCATACGTACAAGAGGCATTTTCTGGCATTCTTTGTAGTGTGGCAGCTCATCGCCAAGGCAGTTCCCTTCCCTCCCCCTTCCCTCCCTCTTTCCACTGTTTCAACAGTGTGATGGGTGCCTGTTCCTCTTACTGCGAGGGGACTCATGGCTGGGTTGCCAGGATTTGCCAGCCTTGGGAGCAATCTTCATCTAGGAGCTGGCTGCCAATAGTGGAAGCTCCTGGATGTCTCAGGCACCCAACCTCCATTTTAGCAATGCAGTTGTTCTCTGAAAACTGGGAACTAGTTTGGTCAAGTACAACATGTGAATAAAATAAGTAAGCCACAAACAATCCTGTCTCCCAAAAAATACCCCGATTCCAAAAAAAACACTTTCCCAAATCTAATAATCAGCTTGAAAGTCAAGCCCACACATGTATGCACTGCAGACAGTCTGCATCTACATGTATGTCTATTGTTATCTTAATTTCAATTGCTTTTTTTAATTTGTGATTTATTATACGAAATGAAGCTAACTTGGCATGAGCTAAATTTGTCCTCTGTTTAATAATTCAGTGGGGAGGGGCTTGTTTGAAACCTGCTTTTGAAATCATAAGGTCTCTGCTTTAGCAATAGGCCTCATCATGGTTTTCAATGCCATCTTGACGGGAAGGCAAAGCAGTCAGAAATAACGGTGTTTGTATAAGAATCCAATGGCAAATAACTTTTTTCCAAAATTGAATTTTACATAATTTGTGAATCGCAACATTAACATACTAGGTAAAAGATTGTATTCACCAAGTTTGATGTATGTAGCTTGGCTAGAAGACACTCAGTTAATTTTTCTAATTTTCCATACATTTGCCTGTAATTTTTATCCCCATGAACTGCGTCTACCCACTCAAATTTACAGACAAATGTCTGCAAACTAGAAAAGAAGAAGGGTAGAGGGTAAGGGGGGGGGGGGGGCGGAGGATGGGGTGGATTTGCTTTTCAAATCATAAATTTTAATAATTTTTTTAAGTGCCTTCCTTTGGGGTGATCCAGGTCAGGATCAGTGATCCAAGCTCACTCGGATCACGGTGTAACTGTAACCACAGTGGATTCATCGGTTCCTTCCTTCCTTCCTTCCTTTGATGCACCATGATCCGAATGATCTTGGGCCACTTATTCTGATATCGATTGTTACCCAGATCGAAATATCATCCCAAAGGAACGCACCCAAAGACTATATTCTTTGCAGTGTGCAATTTTCATTATATATAAAAAACATCTTCAGCCACAGCAAGGTTTCTAAAACAAAGGTCTGTAAATCCATACCTGTATTAAAGCTTACCTCTAGCTCTTTGTCGATGATAGCATGTGGTCGAAGACACTTCCTGGCGTTTCCATCACAGCCCGGTACGTGAAACAGATGATAAATTACATATATACTGTTAGCTATATACAAACCGAAAAGAATGAGAACTACTGTGGTAACAAAACTCATTGTTAAGCCGCAGAATTAATGTACATGACTTTGTTAACTACAGATTAAAATAAGTTCTCTCGATCGTTCCCTTTCATTTCCTCCGGTGTTCTTGTTGTACTTCATGTAAACCAGCGTAAAACGTGGAGTATGTTATGTAAAAGAACCCGAAATATACCTTTATTTGAAATTTGCGAAGAGTGGAAGCTAAAAGTTACTTAATCTTTTTTTCTTGAAAAATAAAATTACAGGGTAATAAAAACTAAACGAACTAAGGTCTTTTTTGTACTTTTCACTGGTCTACTGGTGCTTACTAAGTATGTTCTTACTTATTCAAAATTCTAAATCAAGGAGGAGAAGAGAGTGTATTGGAAATAAAGGCTAAGGCCAGAAAATGTAGCACCTCTCATCCGAAACCATTGTATAAATCGTTATTTAAAACTTGCTCTGAAAAGTCAAGTTTGAACTGTTTGAAGAAAGGTTTTGTCCTGGGTAGCTGGGTAGCCTGTGCATTAAGACGTCCCATGTTGCTTTGCGCTCCTCGATGACGCAACTTGAATAGCGCCAACAGCGATAAACCAAGATGGCGGCGGGCAGTAGCACTACTTGTTCGTCTTCAAATTCAGATACAAGTCAACAAGTTGATCGAATAGCTCAGTTATACCCTAAAGTAGACGAATCAGAGACTACTTTACCTCGGTCTTGGTCTCCCAAAGACAAATTTACCTTTATAGGGCTTTCTCAAAACAATCTCAGAGTACATTACAAAGGTAGGTAACCTTGAGCATTTTTTGTCGTCTTTCTTCTCGAGCTCCGAAAATCCATGCCCTAGTAAGCTAAATCAGTAGACAGGACTATCAGTGTGCTTTATGTGTTCTATTTGTGCCTTACTAAGCCAAACAAACCCGTGATAGGGACAAACTTTGGCGAAGATTGCCTTTGGAAGGACTGTATAATTTTATGATTTGTTTGCGTTTCATCGTCAACATCGAAGCTTTGCTTGATGCCAGCGAAAATTAATACGGAAGTTGATTATAATGGGCACGGATTGTGCTTGATATGTGCGATTCTTGCTGTTTGAATTGACTCTCTTTCTTCGATTCTTCTGGGCTTTTCGCGGCAAATGTTGGTGTAGTCTGTACACTGTGAGGTGATACAATGCTTGGCCATCAGGCGCTTGTATTTGAAAAATTTGAGCCGGAGAATTTTTTTATTTTCAGGTGTGGGGAAAACTCACAAAGACGCGGCTTCGGTTAGAGCGACACACGCTATTCCGGCAGCATGCGGTATTTATTATTTTGAAGTGCGAATTGTTAGCAAAGGACGCGATGGGTGAGTTGTGAGACCGTTTCCATATTTCTTACCAATCAATTCGAAAGAACAAAACGTTAGAATGAATATTGCTTTTGAACTTTGTCTTATTGGATGAGGTTTAGCTGCTCCTGTTGAATGCGTGACAATCAACGTCGGCGAATTTGCATGACTATCTGTGTTTTTATGAGAGAAAATTGTAATGTTTTAAAGTATTGAGCTTTCGTGTTTTTTATTGCTAATTTTAAGCCGTCCTTACAATAATGTAAATACATGTACATGTAATGTTTCGATTTGTAATTCATATGATATGAACCTTTGTTGAAAAACACTGGATATTGTAAATTATATTTGGTGCAATGCCATGATGCAGATGTAAACTTTAATTTGACCAGTCAAGAAAAGCCAGTGGTAACCAAATGTAATTGACAGCTGTCTTTTAAACCACATGTAAGGTCATAAACCTAGTGACAAGTGAATAATAGTCAGTGTAATCAATTCAATATGGTTTTGAAATTTTGCTATCTGTTTTATTACCAGACAATTACACCAAAATGAAATTGAAAAAAGAGAGTAAAAAATGAGTGATATGATATTATAAATTTCCCTCAGTTTGGTTACTTTATTCACAGCTGAAACAACTCGCTGAATTCTGAGAGTAATGCTTGCTATTTCAGGTTGTTAATATTAATATTCCTCACATGTGTTTGTTATCTTATTTGATAATCCTGTGCTAAGTCACAAAATTATGGGGAAAGGAATTGGTCAAAACTCTCATGCAGTTTAACCATTTGGAAATAAATGTTTTCCATGAAGGTAAAGGTAAAGTCTGCATGCCAGCCAAGTGGCCCATCAGGCCGGAGCTTATCCTGGTTTCTGTAGCATGAAGCGACTAGGAGTATTTCTACTCCCCCCTGGATGGGATGCTAGTCCATTGCAGGGTTACCCCCATCATTAAGTTCGCCGGTACCCATTTATACACCTGGGTGAAGAGAGGCACTCTGAGAGTAAAGTGTCTTGCCCAAGAACACAGCACAATGTCCCCGGCCAGGGCTCGAACCCAGACCACTCGATCCAGAGATGAGCGCACTAACCATGAGGCCACTGCGCCTCCTGTGTTTTCCGGGTTTTGTTTGTTTTCTGTTTTTTGTTTTTTTTTTTGTTTTTGTTTTTTTTTCCGTTTTCCATGAAAAAACCCAGTATCACCTGTCAAAAATCAGTGAGAATAATTCGTTCTCATGGGAAACTCACAGGGAGGGAGGGGATATTTGTAATAAATAGGAAATCATCGTTTGCCTTTAATATCACTCACTCTTGATCTCAATCACAGAATATACATGTACTGCAGTTTAATGTGTGAGTTCTAACTGTAGGGTTGTGCTGATTTTAAAAGGCTGAGATGAGATGAGTACGCTAAGGGCTGCGAAAATAGAAATTGTTTTAATGGGTTTTTTTAATTTTTATTTTTATTTTATTTTATTTTTTAAAAAGGACATTTGCACATTGCAAGTCATATAGTTGTTCTTAGTCATAAACAGTATTGACTATGGAGTTAATGTTGATTTGTTCATTCAGGTACATGGGCATTGGATTGTCGGCTCAAGGAGTCAACATGAATAGATTACCAGGTACAGTTGTAAGCTTCATGATTATTTCAATCATGTACAGTCGAACCTCCCATAAGCAACAACCTAAAATATCAAGCCTTGGTGGTCGCTTGCAGGGGGTGGTTGCTCGCAAGAGCTTCAATCATAATGGGTCAAAATTTTGCCACAGTGTCTTATGGTAACTGCAGAGACTCACCTGAAGTTTTATTCCTGTAAAAAGTTAATTTTGAGAAAAAAAATATCTGGTACTTCCCAATGAGAAATTTCCATCTCTTGTACTATCCAGGAATGCGATAATGTTATACACCTTATTATCCAATTTCTGCTCTATTATCTGTCAAATGGTCGCTTGTGAGAAGATGAAAACAAAAGAAAATTTCAAACTTTTAGCTCTAAAAGTGGCTGCAATCGCTCACAATAGGTTCCCAATATAGTGATTTCACTTAGAAACTTTTGGTATTTTAGAAAACTGGTTGCTGAGGAGAGGTGGTCACAATCTGAGGTTCGACTGTATAGTACTATGACACAACTGTATACTTGTAGAACCTTTAGAAATATAACCAGTAAATGTTGTCAACCCAGAAGTTCCATCATCAAAGATGTTGATTAAGTGCTAAAAGAATATAAAATAAATAACCTGATAAATAAATACATGTAGATAATAAAATGGTTCTATGGGCATCCAATGCTTCCTAAATGCTGCAATAGTGGCCAAGTTAGCAGCCTAATTGGGAATTAATTCAATTGCCATCAGACTTTAAAACTTCTCAGATCAGAGTTGCGGCCAGAAGAGGATTTTGCATCAGATGTGGAGTACTGTGGGCTCTACTGTCAATGGAAAATTCATCTATTAAGCTCTCAAAACTTAACTTAATGTTTACTTTCATGCCCTGTGTCAGGTTGGGAGAAGAATTCATACGGTTACCATGGAGATGATGGTCACTCGTTTTGCTCGTCTGGGACAGGGAAGCCTTACGGTCCTACCTTCACAACAGGAGACGTCATTGGTTGTGGTGTTAATCTTATTGATAACACTTGTTTTTATACAAAAAATGGAGTGAACCTCGGTAATGATACACTTGTTTTGAACAGTCATTTTTGTGCAAATCAGTTTGCAGCCTTGTGTCTACATCAAGCTATTTACTCCAGCTCTTTATGGAGTTAGAATAATAGCATGGCCTTAAGCCCTTTAATGGAAAATGTGGTGGTGTTATGGTTAGGGTATTGGATGCTGAAGTTTGAGCCCCCGCCATAATCACCTTGTTGTGTTCATACATCCCTGTAGTTTACCCTTAGCTAAAAGTGCAATTCTGTACCAGGAGTATAAATGGGTTCTTGTGCTGGCAGACTGTCAGGACCACCTTTTGTTGTGTTTGTTGTTGTTGTGTTTTGTTCATTGAAACACTGTAAATACTGGCAGATAAGCCGCACCCTTTTACTCAAAATGTTCCTAAAAAGTGGGGATTTGGTTTATCAATTTAGCTGTCTGTGTTTACAATACTCATTTTGTGCATACCTTAAATCTCAATATCAAAGCAAAAACCAGCAAAATATACAAGGTAGCATTTATCACCTGTTTATAAACACAACCACATGCAAAATTTGGAGTTTTCTCAACAATTTCTGAAGCCCAATTCCCATTTAGTCCTGCTACTGAAATTGAATTCACTGACTCTAATTTTTGGGTGTTTTGCAGGAATTGCTTTCACAGACCTACCAGTAAGTACAATACAGCAACATGTACGTGTACCTCTTAAAATTTTAGTTGTGTGGCTGGGACTTTTCTCCTCTTCCTTGTTACTGTGAATTTCTCTAGTTCATTATACTTTCATCTTGTTTCTCTCCAGCCAAACTTGTATCCAACTGTTGGTCTCCAAACTCCTGGGGAAATAGTAGATGCAAATTTTGGACAACAGCCTTTTGTTTACGACATAGAAGAAGTTATGAAGGTACAGTACTAACATGTGGTGGGCTTTTATTAAAGATTTCAGCAAGAAGCAGTGCTTCAAACTGGGACCATTTTGGGGGTTATGTGTATTTTCTGGAACTACATAATGTTGATTATGGTAATCTCTCATTTTTGAATTCTTCCTTTCTTTGTAGGAGGTTCATGCTCGGACAAGACATACAATACAAACATTTCCATTTACAGACAAAGAGGGTCTTTGGCAGACAACACTACAAAAGTGAGTGGATATTTTTAAAGGAGTATGATCAAGCGAAATATTTTGTTTCATTTTACAAAGAAATAAAAGGGCCTTAGTTCTTTTTAACATGGTTTAACACCGCTATTTCAAACTCTTGTCAGGGGCTCGAAATAGCTGGGTCAGAATTAAATATGAAAAAGAAAATCGATGCTATATTGAGTAATACATGTATGCTGCTCATTTCCCATTTTGTTAAAATATGTAATCAGAATTGTGTCAACATACTTGGTCCATCATGGCTATTGCGCTACTGCAGAGGCTTTTGCTAAGAGCACTGGACAGTCATTTACTGAGGAGCTGGCTTCCATCAAGAACAGACAACGTGAGTCAATTAACAGTGGCACTTCAATATGTGTTTCAGATGGTTGATCAGTGGCATTGTGCTTAATCAAATGGCTTTAATTGACTCTTTTAAATCAGTAGAATAATTATTGTGATTTAGGAAGAGAATTACAGTGTAAGTCACTTGATTGTTGCCACACTTGATCACTTTCAGATGGAAATTTTGAAGAAATCTGTCAAGAATGTACAATGTAATGGTTGTTTATTTCATTGATCCACTGTTCTATTTTATTTTCGTTTGTTGTTGTTGTTGTTGTTGTTTTATTAGGACTAATATTGTAATTACATGTTATTTTCATTTAATTCATGAACATCATTTCCTGCTTTCCAGTTGGTACAACAAACTGTCCACTAGCTGTTGTTTCTTTCTTTCAGGAATACAAAAGCTCGTTCTTGCAGGCAGAATAGGAGAAGCTATCGAAACAACACAGACACTATACCCAGGACTCTTAGAACGAAACCCAAACTTGCTTTTCCTTTTAAAATGCCGGCAATTTGTGGAAATGGTTAGTGGATGTGACAGTGATGTGCGGCCTGCAGCCCATAGTCCTCGTTCAAGCCCTAATGTGAGTCCTTCACACTCGTACAGTGCAACATCAGTTGGAAGTATGGGAAGCAGCTCATCTTCAGCTACAAATGGATTTGTTTCTAATGGCACTTGTATAGACAATGGATTTGAGGCTGATAATATGCCAATGGAAGTGGAAGATTTTGAAGAATCACCTAGTCATGGAGTTCTTAATGGAACAGCAAAAATGGATGAGAGTGATCATAGTCCCAGTAGAGGTAATTTGCCGGACTTTAGAAGAATTTGTCTTGTCTGGGAGTGGGCAGGATAACGGGAGAGCAACCGCACACTGTTTGTCTCAGCTGGGATTTAAGACAAAATTAGAGATTCAAGCAAAATACTCCTTACTTCATGTATGAGACCTGGCAGGATCCATGAAAATTCACCTTGCATGATCTACTGCAAGATTTCCCATAGTACCAATTGATGATGGTCAGTCACACAGTTACAATTCTCTCCTTCTACTGAAATGCTCCGGAAATCGGATGGACTGATTCTGCTTATCCCAAGTCATTGCAAGAAATGGATAAGTTTCAAAATACTTAAATAGTCTATTAATTATTTTTTTCTCTCTCTCCCTCTCTCTGTTACTGCAGAATCAAGACAAACTTGCTGTCACAATAGAACTGTACTTGAAAAAATTTTAACATTTGGAAGAGAACTACAAAATATGAGCATTCAGCTGAGAAGAGAACATGGAAAGAATGAAACGAACAAGAAAGCTCTGCAAGTGAGTCATTTTCAGTCTACAATTTTAAGTTAATCATGCCCAATTTAGTTCCTGACAGTAGATACATTTACTGAATTCATAGTGACCAATAGTGGTAATTACACTTCAAACCGTGTTCACGATGTGCGTTTCATGTTGTGTAACTTGCAGAGGGTGAACGTTGCACAGGAATTACTGTACAATTTATGTTTGTCATTAAAGATTTTATTGCCATTTGCTTCAGCACTTGAAGGGTACTTTGATTAACCACCAGAGACTAACATTAGATAACAACTGTGTTGTATTTTTCAGGAAGCATTTAGTCTTTTGGCCTATACTGACCCATGGAGTAGTCCAGTTGGTTATCTTTTAGATCCTGTGCAGAGGGAACCAATATGTTCATCTTTAAATAGTGCTATTTTAGGTAAAAGAAGAATCTTTGTAATTTGAAGACTAAAAGTTAGTTGTGACATTGTTAAAGCTGGTCAAAATGAAACCAAAAGAAATCCCAAATCCCAAAAGCCTACATCAACCTCAAGATTTCCCTCCAACAGACCTGTCTAGAGGATTTAAACTTTCAGTAATTGAAATACACTGACAAAATTACATGGCCCATGGGTGTCATGGAAAATCTAAAAAGCTCACAGTGCCATACAGTGCCTTGCTAGCCTCTGTGCGTGTTGATCAGCTGAATCTTATTTTCTTTCCAAGTTCACTGCAGACTTTTTTGATAATTTGTATCCTGTTTGTTAATTGTTGATGTCATGTTGATTGGTTTCAGATTCTCATCACTTACCCAGAAAACCGCCTCTGGATTTAGTCTTGGGACAAGCTCAAGAATGCTTGAAACTCATGTCAAAAACTGGACTAGGTGCCTGTGCATTTGCTAGTGTTGAAGAGTACATGTAACAGTGGCCTTCATGCTTATTTGTAGATAAAGTTCTTATTTTATAACATTACTTGACAGAACTTGAAATAGGACAACATTTAGTGTACACTAATTAATTATTCTAATGTTCCTAATGTGGCAAGGTGTACATGTAAGAACTCATGATGTGTCTTAGGTAGATTTCCCTTTCTGCCTCTGAATTTCACTGTAATTTTTATAAACCAGCCTTATAAGGACGCAGTCAGCTTTGGGACCACGCTGACCTGGACACTAGCTTTCTCACTTTGAAAAGAGTTCACCTCAACCTTACATCAAAGTACATCTGGAAATCCACTTCAATCTTCACAGTGTTTTGCTTGATTTTCAATCGTTTACTGAAAACCTGTTTTTGAGTGTGCTTTTGCTCATCGTATGATATTATTTGTATCATACATGTATTTGGTTAAAAACAGTATGGATCACACCTCTGTGATATGCAAATAAGCTATGAAATGGTAGCCTGTAGTACAGGCAGATTAGTGGGCTCTAGTGCGATGCACAAGTGTGCGCGAAGCGCGAGAACGAGAGCGAAGCACGAGGCAAGAAAAATCCGCCTGTAGTCACACCATTGTTTATGCTCTACCGCCCCCTTGAAATGATTGGCATGAAAGAATGAGAGAGAACAAAGCAATTCAATTTGCTGTTGCAAAAAAATGTCTCAAATAACCAATTAACAAATGTATACATGCTGCAAAACAGTCAACAGACGTGAACATCTAAATTTAGCAAAATTTAAATCATGTTGTGCTGAAACGAACAAAGGAGGTATAAACCTAAACATCGAGCTCAGGAGACGAAAAGCTCGAACAAATTCAGGATNGCGAGGTAGTCACACCATTGTTTATGCTCTACCGCTCCCTGAAATGATTGGCATGAAAGAATGAGAGAGAACAAAGCAATTCAATTTACTGCCGCGAAAAAATGTCTCAAATAACCAATTAACAAATGTATACATGACGCAAAACAA